TCACCCTGATACACAAGCACAGATAAGTCAAGATTCTGATTGGTTTTTAACATATCAAAAAGTAGGAGTTCATGTTTTATTGCACACAATACAAACAGTATCTTGCAACATGACAGTCAAGTTCTGTTTACATAGAAGTTACAGAATAACACTTTTACATAGATATTCTAAATACATAAATACATATGTACATTATAATCCAATTCCATGGACGTTGATAATTAAATATTTCAATCAATTCAACAGTCTAAACTTGTACTGATCAAATCAAATGTAAGTTATGCTACTGTTGATGAACACATTAAATGATCTTTACAGTTTTTTCTTCTCAAAATGGATGCCATCGCAAGGTTGATAAAACTGACATAGAATAAATATATGCAGCTCTAAGATGTAAAAATGTTGATATGAAATGAATACAACATAATGCTACAAGAAAACAATAGTGGCGGAGATGACCTTTAAGCAAGAATAAAGGAAACAGTAAGGAACACAAACATGATGGTGATGAACGTTTTCTTCCTGGAAATACATATTGCTCATTTTTGTTGTACTTTAATGGTATATGATAATGACCGATGTTGATGCTGTTGGTCTACATATTATAGGAACAGGTCAATGACCACTAATCATAGGCCAAATAAAATGAATCACCGCTGCTGAACTTTACAAAATATGAGTAATATTTAATTTTCTCAATGTACTTTTTGTTATGTCGGGCAAGCCTCCCAAGCTTTTGAGTTTCCAAGAACCTTTCTTTAAATAGCATGCACAACATTTGAATATATTAGTAAAACGGTCTATTGAAATACATTAACACATAGCAAGTGAGGTAAGTGAGGCGAGTGTGATAGCTGTGATAGTCTATCAAACTACATCAATGTGAGATAGCAATGATTGGTTTAATACTCTTTATGGTAGGAAAGAAATAACCTCAGTTGAGGTACATGTCCAGAGCTAGCAAATAGTCCACTTATCCATTGCAGTTACTCTCATTCATGTCGTAAGATCTATCGCAAATTTGAGATACATATAAAAGGGCTAATGTCCATAGCCAGCAGGACCACTCCACAAGGCTTTTTGGATGTATGCCTTCCTCTTTCATTAGAGTTTCTCTTAACATATCCCCAATGCTTGTCCAGAACATGTGGTACATAGCACAAACTTGTAATGGTAATTGGACTGCAGTTCATTTCCATTTCACACATCTGTTTGTCAATGGTATGCTTTCTTATTGGTTCCTTTCGACAAACCTACAAGCTTGTCCATTGCATGCCTGACATAGGGACAACTTGTAAGGGGAAGGGATGAATTGTATATATAGTTTTGTCCCCAGTCATCCACCTGGAAAGAAAGCATACACTAATTTCAAATTACCATGAACTGTTTTAAAGAGATTTCAAAATAAGATTTCAGGAAATACACAAACATCTCCATTAAAAATATTCATTATAGAAATACATGTAATATGCTGCCAGTTTCTTAACTGAGAATAAATTAATTGATTGATTGATGATATTGTCCAATATAAAAAACACACTATTTTAAATCTTACTGATGGCACTGATAATATGATTCAGAAGTAAAACAATAAGAAAACAATATATACTACATGTAACTTAAGAAAATATACACGACCTGTACATGAAAGTGTAATTGTAAATACAGCAACTCAAATTTTAATGATTTACTCATCTTTTGGTAGAAAGATATACCGTTTATCTAGTTCACAAATATATTACAATCATAAAATAAGATTATTCCTAAGGAAAATCATAATTTTTTTTTCTTCAAATGACACTCTCAAAACTTTACATCTCTTGTATTTGTCTCAGGAATTGTTGGATTATGTTTTGCTTTTACAGAAAGAACTTTTTCTTGAGAATCATGTTTATATAATTTGCAGTGAATAAAAAAAAAAAGGAAAAAACATCTTATCTGCATTTAAATTTTGTGCTTCTGTCTTCGATCCAAAATCTGAAAAGTGGAAGCCCAAACAAAAAGTTTATGTACATCAGTCCTCTTAGACATGTTACTAAAAATAAAAAATCTGGTGTTAATTCAGTCTTACACAAAACCAGAATTTAGATAAATATATGATATCATTCACAGGTGCTTTGTATTTTGTCAAAGCTATGGATCAAGTTTGAATTTTTGCCAAAAAGCTAAGATGTATTTCAGCTAATGGACCATGCATATGATAGTCAAAATAGAATCCTTGAATTTCAACCTACAAACTATACCTCATTTAGATGTAAGTACCATTCTGTGTTCAACTCATTTTTTACAACTTTTTCTAAACAGTTGAAAATTCATAATAGGTGCTTGGATCATTAAACTGCTCTATTGATATAATCTACAGAAACCTTTATCTCTTCACCAATAAACTTTGGAATACACAGGTTAAACAACATTTTACACATTACAAAAATATACATAGAAAAACCCTTATTCAAATATATATTAAGTGCAATGGTGCTTATGGTCACAAAGATTTTTTAACAAACTTGGCGCGGGTTTGATGCAAAAATCCTGTACAGGTAGACGCATCATCTATCAAAATATGTAACCATTAGATACCTCTCACATATACTTACATCTGATTCAACAAGGCGATTTTTCTAAAAAAATGTGTGCAACACTTTCAATAGAAGTACATCATCTTGACCCTGTTTTGAAACTTGTTACGAAATAACAAGTTACAAATAACTGTTATAAGCTACTAAAATAGTGGCATTTGAATTAATAGCTGAGAGGAGATTTGAGAGGAGAATTTTAACATTTGTTATTGATAACAAGTGTTTTTGAAGTGGGGCCCTGGACAATGTTTCATTCATACATATAGTAAAAAAAAATATCATGGACATTTACAATATTCAACTCTTTGTAATGATTAAGCAAAGGAAATTGGCATGGCCCAAAAGGCCTAGCTTTAACATTTTCAATGGGGCATTTCAGTCAGTGATTAGGACATAATGGAAAATGATTTGTGGCCACTAGTTATAATTGTGACCTTCATTAACAAGTAACAATAAAACTTGTTTCATTCATTGGAGTACATGGATGTCTAAATGGTCTTATCATTTATACAGTCTTGACACAGTTGAGAGGTTAAAATCATACAAATTTTAAAAATAAGTTGCATGAAGAATCATTACAAAGTAATTGTTCCTGAATCATTTCCCCGAGCAAAAGCATCCCCAAAGCAAATGAGCAAACATTCTCCTGTGTGACCTTTGACCTTTCAAGAATTTCTCTGACATAAAGCTGCTTGTAAATGTGAAACTAAGACATCAAGAACACCTACTGCAACGACATTCATGTGAGTAACACGACCAGTAAAACAGCTTGGCACAAAAATAACTTTGTTAGACAATTGTACATATTTACAATGTATATGGGCAGCACATGTATTGATGCATAAATGTGGCGCCAATGTCTATAAACATCAGATGGCTTTTGATTGGTACCTTTGTAATAATCAGGAAACAATACACCTTTTCAGTAGATCTCTGAATCATATATATATATATTTATACACAACACATAATAGTAGCATATTTGCAATTCTTGTGCAAATTCTATGAAAACATGATAGAATAGAATATTAAGTAAAATTTAGACAGCATACATTCTCATGGCAATGCTCTCAATACAACAACTGTATGTTTATTCAGTTTTCTTAAATTTTCTTTAATGTTTTCATATCTAATAGTATTTTACATGTGAATGTCAAATAATCAAAGTAATTATATCTACAAGTTCTATACACATTTTAAAAATACTGTATGTAGAATATCTTATAATATAATACAACAACATTCAATCTAGTACAAGTAAGTACAGATATGAAAACAAAGAAGATTACTTCTTTGAAATTAACACACACAAAGAAACTGATTACAAATACAATTATATGCATTTGATACTGTTATTTGTCAATAACTTACATGTACACATATATGTACAGGAATGGATGACAATGTGAAATTATAAAAAAATATCAAACTCTCCTCAATTTCTCAAGGATTAGAAATTTTCATTTAAACCTGCACAGCTTCTTGTACAAACATTCTCGGTTAGGGCACAGCATACAAACTTTTTAAGAAATGAAACTTATTACACTCTTCAACATCAATATGCCACTTTCTGAAATACATGTTCACTTGAAAGAAGAAAAAATTGCCAGAAATGTAGCTTGATTCAGGGGAGTCTACTTTTCTTCTAACATATCCCCATCAAAGAAAAACATATTTGTGTTTAAAATTATTTCTCAAAGAAAGTCATGGAAATGAAAGAATGGAAAGTCTGATGAAGGACAAACTAATATATGAGGTTAAAAAAATGCAAGGTGCTGGTACTTGTACTTTTACAGAGTCCTTTTGGTTATTTACACAATCCTCTTAGGGTTGACTGAGATAGCAATTAATGATTAAACTAATTGAGGGTCCAGTGACACAAACACATAACTCCATATTTTGCCAAAATGAATATTTGATATCAAAATGTTCAGAAAAATGTGGGCTTGCCAGGAAACACAAAGACGTAACTCCACCCAACACCCCATTAAAGTCAATGGCTAGTGAAACATAGACTTAACTCCTTAAGACCCAAGTGCTCAGTGACACTTAAACCACTTTTTCTAAAAATGGGCAAAATGGAGTTACGTCTTTGTGTCACTAACCCCTCAAAATACATGTAGGATTGCTTGCCCATTTCACCTCCTGCTTTAATCCAGAAAACCCTTCTCTATGGAGGAGCCCTTACAGGGAGAGAGGAATCTCCTAGGTCTTCTTTCATTTCCTCTGCATCTCTCTTCACCTTGATGCTGATCATGAGATGGACAGGCATCGGAATTGCGTCGTTAGGGAACATCCTGGAGGATGTTTCACAAAGCCTTTTTTCAATGACAAATGACAAATATCAGTGACAAAATCAGCTGATAACCAATCAGAAGCAAGGATTTCAGTAGCTTATAACAAAGACTGTCATTTGTCACTGATTACAAGTTTTGTGAAACGGGGCCCTGCTCTGCAGATGCATTAGAAGATGTCTTTGAGGAAAGAGCTACTCCTGTCTTGCTTGTCTCTCTATTGCTTCTCTGTAGTTATGGACACCCTTCCCATCACCATTGAGGATGATCTTAGAAAGAAGCGGTAGAAACAGGTCATCAGGAAATCTCAAGTCCCTGGAGGGCCCTGCTTCAAAGATGCTTTTGGATTATTCCTTTGTCACTTCTCCTCAGTCTATGACCTTTCCATAAAGACGTACATGTACCTGGCCACAAGATCATCAGAAAGAAAGCTAAACTCTAAGGACACCCTCCTTTGAGGATGTCTTTGAAGGCGGAGTCTTGTCGTTGTGTTGCTTCTCAACATCACTGTCCTCCCTTTCCGGGATCATCATGAGGAGGTTCTCAGGAGCGATAGGAGCTTGTCAGCGGGGAACATCAAGGTCCTGGGAAACCCTGCTTTGAAGATGCCTTTGCAGGAGGAAGAGCCTTGTCCTTGCGTTGCTTCTCTGCATCGCTCTTCTCCCTTTCCATGATGATCATGAGGAGGTTCTTGGCCAAAAGTGATAGGAGCTTGTCAGCTGGGTCCATGGCACCCCTCTGGATCCACTTTGGAATGGTGGTGCGAGCGTGATGGAATCCCAACTTCTGGAGGATGTAGTCCACCCCGACAGGCTCAATCTGCTTCCCGCCCCATGACAGCAACCTACAAATGAGATCAAGTTAATGTGGTTAGATTAGCAAGTGGCGCTTGTAAAATGGGGACTGGCTGGAATGCTCCCCAGGGAGTGGAAAATGTGCATACTTTGTGTTACGGGTAAGCCTGAATCTGATGATCGGGGTAATAATATGTGCTGCGCCTAGAAACAAAGTATTAGGCGCATTGTAAATGTGAGCTATTGTTAATATTATTATTATTATCATTATCAAAACAGTGATGGTAAAGATTTAAGCCTTTGATGCATGACTTGGATCCCTACTAACATGTACTGTACATGTATCTTGTTATACAGTCATGCAATGTACATGTCAGCTCAGCCAAGTTCTATAATGGTTATTGTGTATTCAATTAATCATTTTCATATGTTAGACTTCTATTCATCAAAGATGTACGCACATCAATGATACAGATGTATGTGGTATGGACATACCCAAAAGAGTATATATCTTACTAATAGTCCATGACCTTTTACATTGGTGTTTAATCACTTCATTTACAAGAAGACAAAAATTCCCTCTGAACTCATATACATGTACCATGAGCTACTTTATTCCTTATCTCCACAGGATGACATCTTTAGCAAACTTCTTTCCTACATTAAAGAAACATTACACTCACAACATAACTTGTTTCCAAATCAATCGTATCATTTTGATTCCCATATGTAATCAAATATATTCTTTGTAATATGGAGACCTGCTGGATCTAAAATCTTTATTTATCTCAAGTCTAGACTCGTCACATTTTAATTCTAAACCCCTATCATTTTACCCAAATCAGAGCCTCATCTCTTTCAGGTATAGTTGTTCTTTTAAAGTGAGACTGAGGCAGGATGCAGAGATATAATTTATGAGCACACTGGGAGTCTCTTTAAGTAGACATTTTAAGAAAAAATCATGTAAGTAAAGAAAAATACAGATACAACAAATAATTTGATGCAAATGTATAAGACAAATAAAAAACATATTATAATAGAAGAGAGAGAAGGAAAAGAAAACAACCGTGGAGAGTGATGAGGGTTCGAGTGAATAGCATAAACCACCAACAACAAAAATACAATAATGGCATATTTTTAAAGTCTTAGTGATTTTGTTGTCACTTATGGCTTGACAGCTCAACAATTTAAGTGACTTTTCAATAAAAAGCAAAGAATAATAGTTGCAGGCTATAAATCTTCCAGGCTTTCCAGAATTTTTTTTTTCTTAATGATTCCATTTTATTGACGCCTGCGTTACAAGATCTTTTTATTGCAAAAAAAAGAAAGAAATAAAGGCACTTAGCTGGGATTCTTTTGCAATTACCGTAATTTAATTGCCTTGGTACAATCAATTGTAAAAAATTTCAAGAAGGAAGGATAATGGCTGAAATATGCATTGTATGGAGGTATAGAGAAAGGGAGGAGGAAGTAAGTACATGACATAGAATGGGAGGGAAAATGGGTGGAATATATAGAAACCAGAAATGAGAGAGAGAGAGAGAGTGAGAGAGAGAGAGAGAGAGAGAGAGAGAGAGGGGGGGGGGGATAAAAAGAAAAGGGAACATACAATAAGTATGTACAATGGGAGACAAAGTGGGAGGCACTATAGGAAGATACATGGGAGAAAAAAAAGAGGTATAAAGAAACAGAAAGAGAGGAATGAAGATACATTTATAAGAGAATAGAGATAATAATGAAGAAGATATACAGTCATGTACAACGAGATTGAAAGAAAAAATGAGAGGAAGAAATACATAAGAATGAGAAACGGAAAGAGAGAAAGAGAGAAAGAGAGAGAGAGAGAGAGGGAGAGATAAAAAATGAGAGATGGAGAGAACATGTGTGTATGAGAGAGATAGAGATAGTGAGGGATAAAAATAGTGATACAGAAAGAGAGAGAGAGAGAGAGATAGGCTCAGAAAATATGGCAAACTTTGGATACTGGGATATCTAAAAGACAACAAATACATCAAAACCTTACCCTTAATCCCCTAAAAAGCTTCTAATGCATGCCGCATCAGCCAATGGATAAAGCTCTCTTTAAAACTTACTGTTTGCAATTATTCACAAGCTACAGGCAGGTGGATTACCAAGCCCCTCTAAAATTCATTATCTTTCCCATTAATTCTTCTTACTCTCATCAGCCGCGATAGTAGCCACACCTGATTAGCATAATCTGAATTCACTTACAACTGAATATCTTCTTTTCTAGGATGATATGCATCCGGTAGAAATATCATTAAAGACTGAAACCCTGAATAGCCATCTCCCTGCTTATTGATATAGTGCAGTAATAATACACAAGATACTAGGAAAACAGATAATAAATAATAATAATAATATTTAAATTTTGAGACTGATCAAAAAATGATTAGATATTAGAGCATTAACATGAGAAAGAGAGAGAGAGAGAGAAAGAGAGAAAGAGAGAGAGAGTACATTATATATAGACAGAGAGCAATGACCTCATGTGAAATTATCTTTTCCATTTGTTTTCAATATTTTTCAGTGTGTACACCAGAATCGCTTTGTTCATGACTGCTGCAGTGTACAGGCAGTTTAAAGGCAGGTTATTTTTTACAAACATCACTACCACTGCTGTATTTTCAATTGTGCCATATTTTGGCATACATAGAGCAATTTCCAGTTCCTGTACCCAAGCACCATCTCGGGCGCGTCATGCAGTTGGTGATGCATTGTGGGACATGGCTGTCAACACATCGGGACATTGTGAGCAGCAGGTGGCAGTACACTTAAATCTGAAGTAGTATCAGAAAAATAACCTGCCTTTAAATCATACTCGGTCATTAAGCACATCTCGTAACTGCTGATGAATAAGTAAAACTTACATAAGTCCCTGATGATGTTGATTTCTATCTATTTTCATAACACTACAGGAGGGTGTTTCACAAAGCCTTTTTTCAATGACAAATGACAAATATCAGTGACAAATCTGCTGATAACCTATCAGAAGCAAGGATTTCAGTAGCTCATAACAAAAACTGTCATTTGTCACTGATGAAGAAATGCCTAGCTCCCTTCACGTTTGCTTTCAAAGTATTAAGAATTAAGATGTTCGTGTATAATGGATGTGTACACATCATTTATAAGACTATCCACATCTCTTTACTTATATTATTATCTTTTCTTACTCTTTCTTCTTTGAAAAAAATATCTGTATCTCACTTTCTTACTGTACCGGTAATCATCACAGGATTTAAAAAGATAATCACATCCCCTCCCTTTCTTTCATTCTCCCCATATTTCTTACACAATTGTAATTCTGTTCCACCATCTATGACGTCACTAGATCTGTAAAAGCTCTTTCAGAAATGGCTTAGCAGAACTGGGTAATTTTTTAAATGATGGCGTAAAGTGCAATAGGCCTCGCATTTCTGTATCTTATAACACAGAGCTCAATGAACTTGCACAAGTCCTTTGTTGCACGCAGTTGCCATTTATTTTACAGATTTTTTTTTTTTTTTTTTGGGGGGGGGGGGGAGGGGGGAGCGGTTTACCTCCCCAAGTCTAAACAAGCTCGACTTTTTTAGGGCCATGTTGAAATTCAGTTCACAGGTTTTTATAAAGCAGTATTCCAGGGGAGTGTTTCACAAAGACTAAGATCAACTTTAAGTTCATACCACTGTTTGCTCTAACCATTTACTGGCATTGGTCTCTCAAAGGACGTACAATTCCTGGTCACAAATGTACAGAATTTACTTTTTTGATAATTCATTATTAAAGGAAAAAATATTTTCTAAAGATCATAATGGTGAGAGCAAACATTGGCATGAACAGCCTGCCATAGTTAAGTCCAACTTAAAGTCGATCTTAGTCTTTGTGAAACACAGGTGTGGTAAACATGGTATGGAATTATTTCCTTGAGATAATTCATCTTTCATGGTTCATGAAATTATAGAATTCTTCATGCCAAGGTATTAAAAGAATTCTCGAATATCAACACTAGTCTTTCCCTCTTTTCAAAAAACTATCAGGGATACTTTCTCCTACATTCAGAGTCAAATATATACACACTTCGACTCTGCTTTCACACTCAAATCAAGACATTATTAATGGCTGCTTACATATCACTGATAATGGTGACAATAACAGCGACAGTAACTTGCTCTCTGTAGCAAAGGCATTGGATCAAATAAAATGGGTGTTCATTGGAATGATTGAATAAGCAACATTGATATCCAATACTTTTACTAAATAGAAAAATTTAATCTATATTGTTTTCAATGTTACATCACACATAACCAGTCCTCTATGCCTATTTCTTAGTCCTTCCCATCTCACTTCAAAACATTCAAATTTAAGCGACAGAGAGTAAATGTGACTGACCTTATGGTTGGTTCCAGCTGCCATGTGGCGCACACAAAGAGACGGCAGTCTCCATTTCCAGCTTTGGCCACATTTCCTTGTCCGCCTTTCTTCTCCTCCTTCCTCTTCTTTCCTTCCACCACACCAACCGAGGCAGGCGATGTCGTTGATGAAGGGGAGGGTGACGAGGAGGATGATGACAGTGTGGATGGTGGTGGGCGCTGAGATGAGGAGGTGGACTGCAAGGTTGCTGACTTCAGCGAGGCTAGTTTCTTCTCAGTGGAGGACGGAAGTTGAGAGTGGGCGGACGGATTCAAAACCATCGGTTTCATCGGTGCCATTACTGTATGCGCAGATAAAAAAAAACATTGTTGTTGATTAGTGAATGAACCTGTTCTTAGGCAAACGCCAATTCCAATATCAAAGAAGAGGTCATCAAATTTGCAGCTCATATTTGAAGCTCAAACTTCTAGCTGCACAAAGAGCAGCTACAATGATGGAAATTGAACTATAGTGTATTCATCCTAACACCCAATGTATTTGAACAGGCTGAATTGCGTGCAACGCGAATTTAAGAACCAGTGAATATGTTTTGGGGTCGCTCAGAGCAAAAATTTAATCATGCACAAATCATAGCATTTACAGTATTCAGTAAGGAGAACCACAGGTACATGTATTGATTATCTTTCAATCGTCAGATGGAGACAAAAAGAAGATTTACTGAACACAATTTGGTACATGCATACGTCATTATCATCATTTATTAATGTCAGCATCTTCCCTCTTACGGGAGGTTACTGACTTTCGCGCCATGATGACCCTCCGTCCCTCCACTTCTTCTTGTCTCGAGCATCCTCTTCATTTAGACCCAACCTTGTATTGCTTTCTTTCTTCATCATACATATGTGGTGCTTTTCTATGGATTCATAATCAAATGTTTTCTTGCATTATTTTATGGAACATTTCACACTGTGAACAATGAAGAAGAGAGATATGAGAAAATACCTTATTCAAGATTTCATGCTGACAAGAGGTTCAAACTAGATTCAAAATTATTTTGGTACAGGTAAATTTCTCCCTAGTATCAAATAATTCATGAAAATGGTAAAGTGGAAATACATGTACATGTTCATTTTTTATCAGTAACACTACACTCCTTAACCATATACATGTTTAAAACATTAAACAATCCATAAAACAATATTACATGCATACTTAGATTTGCCTCCCAAATTTCTTAAAACTGAGGCCAAGATAACATTTCAAAATAATATTATGTTCAAAAGAAAGGTACATTTATGTAAATGTACCTACATATGCACTTAAAGGAGAATGAAACCAAACTAACATGAGATGATAATCTTATTCAAAATTGTAACTCAATTTTAATTTGTTTTTAAATCTTAAAATCACTGGTGTTTAATCAATAAGAAATGAAAACAATATATTGTTTACTAGTCATTTCCCCATGGCAGTCCATTTTGGCCATTTTGATTAAAATAGTGATGTCAGAGTAGTACAGCTTATGAGATACCAACAGGCCTCTATTTTAACTACAATGTAGGGCAATCACCTATGAAATGCAGTAATAACAATTACTTCCTAATAACAGACCATTTTAGTAATGCATCCACGTGAATGGATATTCTTTCATTAGATATTGTGACAAGTTATTTGGTTCAGCTGTTTAAAACAGTTAAACAGTCTTTTGTTTAGCAACATTTGGCATTCATAAGTTGTTGCCTGGTCAGGCAAAGCGTCACCAATTATTTAAAAGAGTGACAAAGTCATACACAGAACTGTGAGGAGAAATCAACTGTTTGAGATGCAGGGGTAATAAGATGGCTGCCTTTTTGCATTGATGGCCCTGGTTGCACAATAGCCAGTCATGATGCAACACCATATCCATTCTATGCAAGTCAATGGATAAGTAATACTCTGACATCACCATTTCAATAAAGATGGCAACTCCCATTGGATAACTGCTAGAAAGGAAACTCAAACTCTCCTTGCTAAGGAATCAAAATAGGAGTAATTTCAAGATTTGTTAGAAGTTGCTGAAAATTTAAAATTTATATCAGATTGTGAGCTACTGTTTGTTGGGTTTCCTTTCCTTTAAGACTATCATTTCCACCTCATTACTGAGTAGGAGCCTTGCAGATAAAATGAAAATAAGAATTTAATCTTCTGAAGCTTAAAGGTAAAGACCAGTATTTGAAATGCCCCAATTTCAAAAAATGAAATGGAAGCTCTTATTACCAATCATGTGAAAGAATATGTTTTGACTAATACATGATGATAAAAATTTTGCCGGGAAACCGCCTACAAATTGATATATTTGGTAAATTGGTTTATCTAATGGTCTATCTATGAGAGATAAACGCACGTGTCGTGCACGTGTGCGTATAGTCCCATATACATCTTTCTGTGTACAGTGCTTGTAAGTTTACGAAGACTGGGCCAAATTTCTTATCATTTTGATGATTCCAGAACCTTGCAGTACACACCAATACTTATATGCTAGATGATCAACCTTTTCTGATCCATTCCACAACATTTCTTTCACAATGCAATTGCATGACCATAACTGGTCTTTAGCTTTAAAATGAAATATGACAAGATAGAACAGCACATCAAGATGATTACTAGATGCAAAATACATGTAAATTGAAAATTAGCTCCAAGATATGTAATGAGGCTCTTAAATTGACATAAACTGATTTTTAAATTTACAGATTTTTATCCCACACTAATACACAAAAATAATAAAAAGTGTGGAGTTCCCAATCTAGGATGCTCCAAAAGAGAAAACAATTTATGGGGCAAAAAAGGCTACTAAGACTTATTGTCCTTTAACAGCTTACAGATGTACTGCTTTCAGTTTACACCATTTCGCTACATTAATATTTAACATTCAAGTATTAAAAAAAAGAGAAAAAAGGAAAATAAAAATAAATCATGTAATAATATATGTAAAAGTGGAGTGATAAGCGCGAAATAAATATGAGGACATCTGGTTTGTCAGTACTCTGTAACTTATGTCAATATGTAGAGAGTCACATCTGTTGATGTTCAATATAGATCAAACCCTCATTCAATATATGCATACTTTAACAACCGTAGTATTTTTAGGAGGTTGGAATTTTTGGGGGAAATATGTTGACATTTTTTCTACTCCTAACAGTTCTATATAAAGAGGGTTCTTATTCAGTACATGATCAGTGATACTGCAACTACTAATTTAATATACTTTCCTCTTGCAGTGAATCTCTATATACACTGTACATGTACATGCACTGCAAAGGTGCTCTCTCTCTCTCTCTCTCCCCCTTTCTCTCTCTCTCTCTCTCTTTCTCTCTCATTCCCTCTTCCTGTTGTCTCTTTCTTTCAATCTCTTATTCATTCCCTCTCTTCCCTCCCACCTGCTCTCTCCCTCGCTTTTTTTCCTTCCCTCCCTCCACACTCTCTCCCCTCTCTCTCTTTCTCTCTCTCTCTCTCCCTCCCTCTCTCTCTCTCTATTTTTAATCTTTATTCCTCTCCCCCTCCCTCCTCTCTCTATCTCTCTCTCTCTCTCTCTCTCACTTCCTCTCTCAATCCCTCCATCCCTACCTACCCACATCATGTATCTCTCATTTCTACCCTCTCTCTGAACCATTGCACCAAAAAAATCCTAGGCTGATTAATTTTTACTCTCAGCCAATCAAATGGCACAATTTTAGTAGCTTATAACAGTTATCGTAAGTCGTTATTGATAACAAGTTTTAAGAAAAAATTACCCAGGTCCCTGTTTCATAAAACTTGATATTATTAACAAGTTACAAGCTGCTGTTATAAGCTACTGAAATCATGGCATCTGATTGGCTGAGAGCAAACTTGATATCAATAACAAGTTACAAGCTACTGTTATAAGCTACTGAAATCATGGCATGTGATTGGTTATCAGCAGATTTGCCACTGATTTTTGTCATTTGTTATTGAAAAAAGGCTTTGTGAAACGGGTCCCAGGTCTTACCTTTCTGCTTATAATTGATATAGGCCAGGACCATGTCATGGAGGAAGAGGATGAGTTCAAAGTCCATTGAGACGTTGATGTGATCCGTGAAGAGGGTCACGAAGGTCACCTGTACTTCTGGTAATGGTGGAGATGGTGTTCCTGATAGTGGAAAAAAGAGGACACGTGAGAGTTTTTTTAAGTGGTATAGAAAAGTCATGTTCATTTCCCAACTTGTTGTTCTTATTCTTAACAAATAATACTGTAATCAATGAATGGAAGAGACCAAAAACAACAAAGTTTACAAATATTAGTTACAATGAAAGGTACTAGCTGGCAAGGTTCTTAATAAGGTTTTATCAATACCAAATTAGTTAGCAACTTAATAGTTTGATGAATTGACATTAAAGACTTGAAGTGTTGCTCAAAGATTTTTTTTCTTCTTTTTTTTCTCAGACTAATGTACTTAATTTCTAAATATTCCACCCACGCCTACTTCCCCAGAAGGCACACAATGGCTAGTTCCTAGCTAGTTGAGAAAGTTGGCTACTCTATAGTTGGTAACTAGTAGTGAGTGAGCTAGTACCAGGCGCGGATCCAGGATTTCTTAGGGGAGGGGGCCCAACTTCTGGTTTTTTCGCTTCCGAAAATTTGAAAAATCGCGCCGGCCGAAAAGTCGCTCAGTGGGGGGGGGGGGGGGGGAGGGGGGAGGGTAGTGAGCAATTACACCCCCCCCTTGAGCGCCGGGGGGGGGGGGGTGGGGCCATCTCCAAAAAAAGGTAAAATTAACGTTAAAAAATGTAAAAATACCCATTTTTTTTCCAAGGTGGGGGGGGGGGGCCTGGGTCCCCCGGGCCCCCTGGATCTGCCACCAGCTAGTACGGCCTAGTAGGCAACTAGCTTTAATAGTAAGGTGTTATGAATATGGACCCTGATCTTCTGACTTTCAGTAAAAACAATCTTTTAATTTGTTTTAATTTGTATATACTTGCATATACGATCAATAACAATTATTTTTTAATGTCCCAAAGGCCAAAAATGAAACTATTTCATCTTCTTCCTATGTTTAAAATGCATATTACACATTGAAACTCAATTCTAGGTTGGTTAAATCGCTTCAATGGCTCAAAGTTATGACATTAATCAAATATTTCATATAACAGTTCTTGAACTGTTAATATGACCCCAAGATCTAAATTTTTCACCCTTTGACCCAAACATCAAGTGAGTTCATCATTTGATACATACATATAGTACAAATACATACTTCAATCAAGCTTGGTTCATTTCTCACTCCTATATGTACATGCATTTACCAAGACATCAGTCATTGTCCCACTATTACCTTTAACCTTTGACCATTTGATCCCAAATCCTTAGAATTACTCATATCGACCTACATTGGGGTGCATGCCCTTAGAAAGTTGCCAAGTTACTGTGTTACTTCACAGATTAACAAATGGAAGAACAATCAACGATTACGCCTCCAACAAAAGCACATATTCCTATACAAGCTCAATATTTTAAGCTGGTAAGTTTATATATTAAGGAATAGCCTCTCTAGAGTCAATGAATTATTTATTTCTTTAGCCTGAACTGCATGATGGCTACCAGCACTAAATCCAAATTCTAGGAGCTACATTATATGTGTACATGTAACCAAAATATTCTAGCCCTAAAAAAAAATGTCCCAGCTGAATTTTTTAGAATTTTGTAAGGGTGTGCACAACACCAAATTACATGGACTAACACAGAAAAAACTCAAGTCTGAGATAAAACAGACTCTGTACACACAGTTTTAGTTTGGCTATCAGTATCTACCTCCCAAATAATAATAAGAAATTGGAGCCTTTCAATGTCATATAGGCATGCAGTTTTAGCTTCCTAAATCTTGAAATTTCATCATATACAGGTATACTCAATAACCATAATAATAATAATGATAATAATATGTTTTGTTAACCCAGAGTAGCCTCATCAGTATTAATACTGTTCACCCTGAGGGCCCTGCAATCATACGTAAATGCTTGTTTCTTATCAACATTACAAAAGAGCTTATAAATGAATTGTGATTTTATTGTGTTGAAGTATAAAAACATAACAAATTATCTTGTAGGATCATTTTTGTTTACATGTACATACAAGTTGATGAAATTTGTAGCACTATTAGGGTTAAACACATTATCATGGAAAGAGGACAATTAATTCTGGTTATTAATCGTTAAAGCCTTCTAAAGGTCAGAAAATTCATTCCCCTCCCACGCCTTTAACTTAACATCATGATTAAGTGGGGACCAAGGCATTAGTGTCTAAGCCCCTTTTATTCAAATCTTCAGCTACTTTTGACATTAGATAGATAAGAAAATGAAATAAAATTCACTTTCAGATTGAAATGTAATCCATACCGGTAGCTTACAAGTAAGCAGGCTTTGGAGTGATTAGAATTGAAACTTGATAAGAAGACAGATAAAGGAAAGTAAAGATGGAGAAGGGACAAGGGGAATATATGATAGCAAAATATTTTGAGAAAAAAAAAAGAAATGACAAACAGACAGAGGAGGGTATGCTGAGAAAATTAAAAATGAAAGATAGAGAGAGTAGATATGAAAGCTATAAAACTTCAATACCCCCACCCCCCCCCCTACAAAAAAGGAGTAAAATGACAAAATTAAGGAAAAGAGAACAGAAGAAAAGGAGGAAGATATGGAGAAGGGAGATGAGGAGAGAAAAAGAAGGCGGAGGATAAAGAGAGAAAGAGAGAGAGAGAGAGAGAGAGAGAGAGAAGAGGAAAGAGACAAGTGAGTAGAAATTAGCCGACAGGAATAAACTGAAATAAAGATGCCTGTACATACATGAAGTACATGTATAAAGGGAAAAGTGAAAGAGACACCGTTATCACGAAACTTCCCAATATTAGGATATGTATAACATGGATGTGCCATTTTTTTATTAAAACAAAATTCTATAACACTGAGGTTACCACAATCAAAACCACCTACAAATAAATTTTGTACATAATTCATAAATGTTGCAGCACTATTATTTGTATCAATTACCATCACCATCATCATTGTTACCACCATCATCAATCACCATAACCATCATGACCATGATCATGACCATCGTCACCATCATCATCACCATCATCATCATCATCATCATCATCATCATCATCATCATCATCATCATCATCATCATCATCATCATCATCATCATCATCATCACCATCATCAATCACCATTACCATCATCATCATCATCATCATGATCACCATCATCATCATCATCATCATCATCATCACCATCATCATCACCATCATCATCATCATCAACATCACCATGATCACCATCATCATCATCATCATCACCATCATCATTACCATCACCATCATCATCATCATCAACATCACCATGATCACCATCATCATCACCATCATCATTACCATCACCATCATCATTGTTACCCCCATCATCATCACCATTATCACCATCATCATCACCACCATCATCACCATCACCATCATCATTGTTACCCCCATCATCATCACCATCATCACCATCATCACCACCACCATCACTACTGCCATCACAAACATTTGGACTCACCTGGCTTTTGTAGCTTCAGTTTCTGCAGTTGCTTTGACTTCATCTCCAGCTGGAGTTTAGGAAGCGCAAAGATGGGATCCGCTTCATGTCTTAACGTTCCTCTTCTCTGACTCGGCAGGTCCCCATATTGGAAGTACTGTTCAAATTCTGTCATGAAAACAATATAAACTTCATCATAGTACAGTTTTCCATATTTTTAAATGCTTGTTGCTAAGCTACTTAATATTCCCTATCAAACCTGGGGGGTGTTTCACAAAGATCCAAAGTCGAACTTAACTCTAAGTTGGACTTAAATATTATGGAGAGCCATTAGTAGCCTTAAAATAAAATATGTTCAAAGCGAAAATTCAAGTATTTTAGACTTTTTATAAATTCCAGATCAAGAACATGAAATCTCCTTGATAATAGAATATTATGATTGATTTGAATCAACATTTTATACCTCTTAAAAAAAATTTTACAAAATATTTTCAAAGATGCTAACAGCTTTCCATAATTTTTAAGTCCAACTTAGAGATAAGTTCAACTTAGGATCTTTGTGAAACACCCCCCAGTTCTGCAGATTGACAGTCTTCTGTGGAAAATATGATGGATTCTAAGAAAACCAGTCATCGCATGGGAGAAGTTGAATGTACAGGAATGAACAATGCATAATTATTGGTAATATTGAATTTAACAGCATAATTTAACACAGGTGAACGACAATTTTGTAATGTAAAACTTAATCGAGATACATGTTGACGTGGTATGGTATGGTCCTAATGTCTTTATGTAGTACTGGTACTACTTTTTTAAAAACCTACATGTACCTCAATAAGGCATTTAAAAAAAGATGTTGTATTACCCTTTGCGACCGACCCAAAAATCTATGGTCGGCTTTAAAAAAATATTTTTAAAAAATTTAATAAATAACAAAATATGTATCAAAGCAAAAAATTTAGAAATATCAGCCCAAAGAGGGAGAAGAAAAAAAAAAAAAAAAAAAGATTTCTGACCGACAACCCATGTTTTGGAAACCAAAGGGCAATACATCTGTTTTTTAAGGCCCGACACAAAGACGCGCTCACCTTCTGGAGTACTGATAGAACTGACATACTGGAAGGCCTCCAGCATGGGGCCAGTGAAGGGGAACTGGCTCTTGTCATTCTTGGAGACCCTGAGGATGGTGGCCAGCCAACCCTGTTCTCTCTGGGTCTGGTTGTGACCGAGGCTGAAGAGAAGGTCCTGTAAGACCAACGTGTCTTCTCCGCCTGTGTGTGTTGAAGAGAAAGCAGAGGAGATTGTTTGAGAGGCATTGCAGATCTTAGAACCAGAATAGAACTAGATTACTGAATGAATTGCAATCAATTAAAAATCTTCCAGTTAGAGATTCTAAATAAGTTGCATAGCCAAGCTCAGGAGATGGGCGCAAATGGATGAATGGGAAATATATGTACAACTCAGAAAAAGATATTCAACAGGTTTGACAATTCCTAGACTACTACTACACAATACCCTTCTCATCTGTATGTCATTTATATTCTGGAAAAAAAATGGTCTTATTGCTTCCACAATCAAACTAAAACTCTTGAAATATTACAAGAATCCGTGTAAACACTCTTCTGCATGGGAAATAAACATTGTGAGGTCTTAAAGGTCTCTAAATCATACCCCATTCACAGTGGCCTCAAACACCGCGACAGCAGCGGGACTGTCCAGCTGCTGTCGCGGTGTTGTCTTCAGTGTGAAGGCTCGGACCCGTTATAAACTATCGCGGGATAACACCGCCTCGCGATAACGCCGCGACAAACTATCGCTAGGTTCGCCTAGCTACAGCAGCGGGACAGTCCCGCTGCTGTCGCGGTGTTTACTCAGTGTGAAGGCTCTCCGCTATAACACCGCGACAAACACGTGTGATTTGTTTACTTACCTATCACTGACCTCTTTTCTCCAGCAATGGGGAACATAAAGTGAAAAAGAAATAAAGTAACCAGTGGATTCAAATTGATTTTATTATTATGTAGATATTATAATTATAATTATAATTATAATTGCTGCAGCGGGATAACTTTTCTACTGTGAATGCATTTGTAGCGGTGTTATGGCGGTGTCGCCGCTCCGCTACAACGCCGCTACAAATTTCAAAACCACTGTGAATGGGGTATCAGTGAAACAGGCTGAAACAGAACTGGCATTCACTCCGACAAAACACTTACAATGTTCTGAGGACGGCACCTGCAGCGCTTCCGTCTCAAACTCCACCTTGGGCTCCCGCATGGTGAAGAGCGCCCAGGAGTTGGAGCGGAAGTTGAGCCCATGGAAGCAAGCCAGGAGAGCCTGCCTGCCCTGCAGGGTGACCTGTCCTCCCAGACGCATGCCCTCAGGCCGGGGCTGGTTCTTGTGGGCGTTGTGGAAGGTCTGGATGAGGAAGTCAAAGACACTCTGCCAGTGCTGGTACTCCTTCAGTTCCTCCGCAGAATCTGTCTTGGAACCTTGAATATGAATGGTGGTATTAAGAAAAAGATAAATAGATGAAATATCAAACATCGCAGCAGCTCAATATGTGCAAATCTAAGTTGATACAAGGCAAGTCAAGTTACTGTAATTTCATCTTCGTAATTTCGTACGAATCTCCCTTTTTTTTCCATTGTCTTCCCGAATTTCCATTGTCTGAAAATCGTTCGTACGGCGTTCATAGCAGCTCGTAATGGCATTTGTGACCGAGGCTTTACATACACGTAAAGACATGAGCCATTCAGTCAAATGTTCAGTGCTGTCTGGTAAAACAAAAGTTTGATTACATCCAGGAAATCATAAAGTCAATTGTAACAAACAATTAGTTGTCAGAGTAGGATGAATCTTAAAGTCTGGTTATGAAATTGTACTTTCATGAAAAACTGTACAAAGGTCACTCTGTTTGTTAATTTGTTAATTGTCAATCGTTTGGACATTTCGAACCAACAATTTAGATATAATAAAAAGTGTACATTAAAACATGTATGTGGAAAAGGAAGAAAAAGAATGGCGTAAAAGAAAAAGATATCGGGCAAAATACCTGTACCTTCAAAATGTCATTATTCTCACCTTTATGCCCCCTTCCATCAATCTCATCGATCGGGGCTGTACTGATGGGGGCGGTACTAATAGAGGCCTTGCGAGCAGCAGCCAGCTGACTGGCTGCTGTGGCGATGGGGTCCCAGGTGGACAGCATCCTCCTACTGGAGGCGAACTGCTGGGTGAAGAACTCCTCCAGACGGACCGCGATGCGCAGCATATCAGGGGTGGTGGAGCGACAGATCATCAGCTGCATGGTATCCCAGGTGATGTTGGAGTTGGCGTAGACGCTCTCAACGGTGTGGTATTTGACTCTGGGGAAAGAGGGAGGGGTACAAGAGGGTGACTCAAGATCTTTGAGTGACCAGTTTTACCATACTGATTTTCCCCAATAGACTAGTGTTATAAAAAAACCATTAGGAAAAAAAAAGAAAAAAGTTCTATTTCCAATCATAAATATCTTGATAATCAGACAAGCGATCGGCTTGTAAAAGTCATGAGATTCCTGACTGACTTAAAGATTTATAATTATGATTGCAGCATGAGCTAAATCCAGGATTTTGTTTCAGAATCTGAGGCAATGTTACCGAGTCACTTTAACAAACAAACAACAGTAACTTGCTTACTTTGGATCCGAATTGGCCCTGAATTTCCACTCGTCCTCACAGGCAATCTCCATCGAGGTGAGCCTGGCCAGGAGACTGCTGGATCCCATGTAATCGATCCTGGACTCCAGGCTGTCTAGCTGCAGCTGCAGATCATGGTGAGGCTCCTTGCCAGGGATCTTCACTTGACTACCTGGAGGGAGAAAAAAAGAGATGATTTTTCTGTTCAACATCATTGAAAATGGTCATGGTGCGGCTCTTTGTCGAGGATCTGAATGTAATAACCTGGGACCTGTTTCAGAAAGCCTTTTTACAATGACAAATGACGAAATCAGTTACAAATCTGCAGATAACCAATCAGAAGCAAGGATTTCAGAAGCTTATAACAAAAACTGTTATTTGTCACTTATGACAAGTTTTGTGAAACGCCCCCCTGGTTGGAGCAAATACCAAAAATGTATCTATTCACTAATATTATATTTTTCACTAGAATAAAGAGTTGAATAGACAAACAATAAAAAAAAGAATGAAAAGGAAGAAGTCAAGGCCTTGTCTTAAATTCAGACCTACATTGAATTTGGAAGTAAAAAAATTGCTTGACAGAAAGATTGGACTTACTGGTACAACTGAGTTTGGAGACCTCCAAGAGTCCACCAATGACCCCTCCTTTGGCCTCAAGGCTGGAGTTCTTCAGACCTGTGGTGATCTTGAAGATCCGATGTCCAGTACTATCAATGGTCAAATGGGTCTGACAGCGAAGATCTTCTGTTGACCATCTATACAGATAAGGAGTGGCAGATAAAGGTACATATGAAAATGCAACAGAAAGATACAATGTGATGTTTCATCATTAAACCGGCAAAAATTCACACTTTGCAGTTTCAAATGACGTTCGGGAAGGAATTTTATAGTTTTCTTAAATTGCATGGTTTATCTATTTTTATTTTTTTGTTAAAGCTATAGTGTGCAATATTTCCTTTGACTGGCTTTTAGACTCAAATTTGTACTAGAAATATTTGAAATCATTCAGAATTTTGTAAGGTGACATAAATTTGTTCTGATAATCTCAAGTACAGCTATCAGCAACGTACAATCAATTCAGTGTTTTTATATTTAGGTTTTTTTGATGTCCTTGGTAATGTGTGGGAAAATATTTGACCTAACAATAAAAAGTTCTGTGAAACACTAATAATAAACATTTATCTTAAAGACCCACTGTACTACTTGTAGCTACTTGCTCCCTCTATATAGAAAACAATGCCTAATCAGTGACCATTGGTCCTCCATGATTCTCTTTTCTTATGTTAATTGAGAGCTGAGTTGATGAGATAGCCACCTGTCCAATGACCTTCCTGGGTGGTCTAATCCCTCCTAGCCAAACTAGTACAGATGGGCTTTAAACATAAATCACATTTTGATGTAACATCGCTATGCATTTCCAAGGTGCTGTTGAACTTACAGTGTGCTGCCCATGACGTTGCTCATGTTCATATGAGTGTCCACCTTGGTGAAGTTGATGACCACGAGAAGAACAGTCTTCCAGGACGGACCAGAGACCAGTGACCCTGAGCTGCTACAGGGGTCAGAGGTCGCTTGGGAATGGCTGTGTTCTGACCCTGAGGGTTCTGATGATTGGCTGATGGTATCTTCCTTTGATAGTCTCTTCTCTAGAGGGTTCAAAGAAACAAGAAATGAACTTTTCAACCGAACGGACAAACTTATTCAGGCATTACCCTGTATAGAAAGAAGACCTGTTTACAAAGACTTCATGGTTTTTTTCTGTTTCCACTTTGATAAAATGTCACTGAAAACTTTGTTAAAAGGAACTTTTGATGGCAGACATCCTTTCTTGTTTCATGGTCTGATTTGCTGATTACCCTTTAGTCATTACTCAGGTATCATCTATTTGAAGTCTTCAACATTCAGCTTAGATTTTTTTGGCTGGATTCTGCATTCTTCACAACTACTTGAAAGTTTTCATTTTAAAATGACACTCAGCATGCTAATTTGAACACAATCGAAAAGAATGTCCCGAAACAAACCTTGGGTGATTTTCCATAGACGTTGTAGTGCATGTAGAAATTATCATATAAAAAGTTTTAGAAAGGATGTTATACCTCACTTAAGTAATCCAGCCATCTGATTGGTCGAAATTGCATTCATAAACTTCAACTGTTCCTATAAAATTCCCGGTAACCATGCTTAAAACATTTAATATTTTTAATAACCATGGTTATTAGGTCAGTCTCCATGGTTACCCCATAGGTTTACATGTTAAAAAATGGTTTGAGCGATGGAGGATACCGTATGTGTGCGAATAATTGGTCGGTAATTTCAATACAATTGAATCTCGATCGATCTTACCGACAATTTTATCTTGCATTGTTGACATGAAGACGAAAATAAACTTCCAAAAACAAAAAAACAACATCTGCCGATAGATCTTGATCCAAGTTCGTGCCAATATGCATTGCAAAAGTAAAAGAAGAGTCCGTATATGGAGCTTTTGCAAAGCATTCATCACACGCGAAGCCGGTTTCAATCCATTTAAATGTATATATCGTACAAAACTGCCATACATGTTAATAGCGCGCGATGGCCGAGAGGTCTGAGGCGCTGACTTAAGATACATCACCCTTTGTACGCAAGAGTTCGAATCTCATCTTCGACCAAAAAAAAAAGTATTTTTTATTTTTTATTTTTTAGTCTATTTTTTTTCGGCATATAAAAGTATTAATGACTGCTTTAATATTCGAGAAATAGTAGTTTTTATACGCTCTCGGGAAGGTTAGAATTGGGCTATTCCCCTCGGCACGCCTCGGGTAATAGCACAATTCTAACCTTCCCTTGAGCGTATAAAAACAACTATTTCTCTCAAAGCAGTCATTAATACTATATTATATATATATAATTGAGTAAGTGCTGGGCTATTGAAACTGCCTAAAAAGTGATTTTCTTAAAGTGACTTGGTAACATTGCCTCAGATTCTGAAACAAAATCCTGGATTTGGCTCATGCTGCAATCATATTTATAAACCATTAGGTCAATCAGGAATCCCATGACTTTTACAAGCCGATCCCCTGTCTGATTTTCAAGATATTTATGATTGGAAATCGAAATCAAATTTTGAATTTTCTTAACGGTTTTCATAACACTACAGTCGATTGGACAAAACAAGTATGGTAAAACTTTTTTGAGGCACTTCATGATAATTTTGAAGCGCAATTTTTTTGGGCTTCAATATTACATCATATCACAGACACTGATAACATGTAGGACCATGCATCTCAGATTTAACATTGTTAAATGATGCCTTTAAAGTCTTTGCAGTATGAAAAGTAGATCCCCACCTGTGACCATTCTCCTGAGATCAGGGCTACTCCTAGGAGGCGGGGTTCCATCCATGAGAGGTGTGCCAGGCTGGGAGAGCGTGGGTGAGGACGGACTCGGCAGCTGGGAGTAGATACTGAAGAGGCTAGGGGACGGAGGATTATAGGGGAACTTCTCCTTGCTCCCCTTCGAGCCAGGCGAGGTCGGAGAGGCAGTGGTTGATGTGGAGGGGCCGGTGGAAGAAGGCGTGCCGGTCCCGCTGGTGGCAGCGGAGGTCGGGGTGCGTTTGCGCTGGTAGCGACGAGGTGGGAGGTCGGTGAAGCTGTCTTCCGAGTCGGTGGATGAATCACTGGAAAGAACTGAAAGGAAAAGTAGATAGAGGCATCGTTATTGTTTGTTCGATGTGTCAATTTCATTTCTATGTAATGGTTATCTCGTTAACACGTTGAACCGATGTCCTTTTCATAGCCCTTAAAATGTCACACAGTCAGATTACTGAAACCAGTTACACAAATAGAAAGAGAAAAACAAGCTGGGATGGTATTCCTAAAAACAAACTCAATATCCCTTAAAGGAGAGACAAATTGTCACAACAATCTGAAGTAAGACACATTATTGGTTTATAAATGACTGTGTCTGTATAGCTGCATAAATGGATAGTTCATAAGGACCTATATAAACACCAATGACAGAGGCAAAAATTTCACTGTTAAGACAAACAAAATCCGTCCACTAACACAGGAAAACATGAAATATGTTTTCAGAATACCGGTACAACTGTTGGAATAAATGAAAATGTCTTACTTATTGATGTAACTTCATCCTCAGGGGTTGACATCTCATCCTCCTCCTCCTCCTCTTCTCCAAAGAACAGTCTCTGAACGATGGACTTACGATACCACGCCTTGGGGAAGGCCAGTACCTCAGTCAGACGCCGCATGTCATAGCGGAACGTTGCCGATCCCACGTCACACATAACTGTTAAAGTTAAAGTCATAGAGTGTATTAGGCATGTTATGGCAAAAGGCAGGTCACCAACAACGGATTGAAAATTAGGAATCTCTGAAGGCAAAATTAGGGCATACAAAGTGTATGTTTTCAAATAGAGGTTTCAAGAAAGAGAGTGGAATCTAGGGTTTGTAACATTAGTTCGAAAGCAACGAAGTAGGAACCATTCCTCCAAATTAAGAATAGTTGACAGATAAGATATTAAAGGGAGTGGGTAGTCAGTTTCCATGTGCAGAAGGCTATAATTCGCTGACACCAGACTTGGTGGAAATACCATTAATGGGAGTACAAATCTGCACACAGCAAACCTGTTGGCCCGTCAAGAATTACCCCCTAGTCTCTCGGAGCATGCTCGGAGATTATTCGGGCGAAGGAAAAGCAAAGCATTACATAAGGTATAATGGTCATAAAACTCAAGGCTAACCCTGGTGATTGACAACACCTGTTATTTGGGTAAACACCCGAACGGTGTCGAATTCCCCATGAGAGCTGACTTCTATGTGACTTTAACCTACACTTGCTGCTCTCCACCCAGGTGTTAAAAGGGGTACCCGGTAGGATGCGACCGTCATTGTTGGTCAAACAGTTTTGAGCGTCAAGTCATGTTTGGCTGGAATGCTCCCCAGGGAGTGGAGATTGTGCACACAGTGTGAGTGCGGGCAAGCACTGAATCCAATGACCGGGGTAATAGTATATCTGTAAAGCGCTGAGAGATGTCCGAGATGTATTAAGCACTATATAAAGGCTGAATATTATTATATGTAGTGGGTACAATACGAGCAGGTGAGGGTAATGGTATGAACAACAGAGGACATCCCTCCCCCACCCCCCTCACACACACAAACATTTAGCAACATATATGGAGGCCTGAGACACTTAGAAAGCAAGAAGACAGCTTACTTGAAAACTTGTTTAATGTAGCTGCAGCTTTGGAGCCTGTCATGGTCGCAGATGACACGGACGTGCTGTCTGACCTCAGAGATTCCCCCAACCTCCGGCTCTCTTCCATTCCTGCAACCAATGTCTGGTCACTGGCGACGGTCGGTCGTAGCTTGTGCCGCTTCCTGGAGACATTGACCCTGACAAAGGTGACCTCCAGAGAGAGGGCATCTTTCCGCGCGCTCCCGGATGAGAGCTTGGATGTATCATCATGTGCATCAGCTATAGTGAAGGACACATATTCCACTATCATCATACTGATATGGTTCATAACCTGAATGTTTCAGACCCCCATTAGGTTCATTTTGGCTTTTACTGGGGTTCTAGAGCCCAATCATTGGAAAATATCCATTTTGTATAATCATCTAATCAAATCATTAGAGAAGTCAATTAAAAATGGAAACAAGAAAAAGTGAATATCATTGGCAGCCATGTTTTAACTACAATTAGTGATATACATGTAAATGTATGATGAATTCTTTATCTGAACTGTGTGTCTCTATTTAGCTTTATTCTTTCCATTCTTTCTTCAGCACCTAATGATTGATGAAATCTGATTCTAGCTATTGTCTACAAGAACCAGTAGTTCCTTTATTAAGTCTACATGAGTAAAAGAATTTAGTAATCAAGGGTCATCACAAAACACTTACAAGAGACACTCATGTTGGACAGCATCTCTTCCACCAGCTTGCCACCATCTCTCCTGAACTGACCACCCCCGTAGGGATGAAAAATGACCAGTGAGAAGTTGGAGAGGACGGCTGAGAGACTCATGTCGGCCTTGTTGGCTTCCTCCCGGATCTCCTCGTTGGAGAGGTGTCGGCTGCGACATCGACTGAAAGACAGCTTTGAGGCTGAACATAAAATCAAATATCATAATGAGTAACGGTCAAGCAATTGTACATCTACTGTGACAGAAGCAATTTAAAAGTAATTCTGAAAAATAGATTACCGGTATGCAGTATAAATATGAATACTCTGGTTCTGGAATAAACAACACTGTATTAAACGGTAATCAAACAATTTCATGAAGACCAGCCTTCCCCTTCCCCTGCCCCTTACTAACCTGTCAGATGGACTCTTGCATCCTGGTAGTCAGTCACCTCCCATCACATCTCCAAAACTCAAACCTTTTCTCTCCTTCAATTCTCTCCCCTATTCACGACCACTCTCCTCCTCTCCCCTGCCACTCTCCCTTCTCCACTGCCACTCTCCCCCTTTCCACATCCACCCTCCCCCTCTCCACTGCCACTTTACCCCTCTCCACTGCCACTCTCCCCCTCTCCACTACCACTTTACCCCTCCCCAATACCAATCTCCCGCCTCTGCAGCCACTTCCTCACCTGAAAGATCATCCTTGGCATCCTGGAAGTCTGTCCCACTCCGATCACCTCCGGTTACGTCCCCCGAGAACCCAGTCGTCTGCTGCCCTCCTCTGGACGAGAAGGCAAACTCAACGCACGGGAGCTGAAGGAGGCATTCCACCTTGGAGGCGGGCAGGCAGCTCAGGTGAACGAGGGATGGATCCATGCAGACGTAGACTACCACATCCACAGGGAAGGTGGTGTAATCCAGGGAGGACGATGACACCAACGAGTTGGCCGACGCCTCAAGGTTGGACGGGTTCACGTCAAGGTTTTCTGCAAGAGACAGGAGGGTTGTGGTGGTGGTTATTTCACCTGACTGCGAAGAAAGCACAAATGCTTGTAAGTAAGCAACCAGACGGCCGACGGCTTTAGGTCCTCTCAGAGGGACCTGGTTATGAGGATTAATGCCTTACCAAAGGGATCACCTTCTTTGACATTTTCAAATTTCCACGCCTTTTACCTAAACCATTGTTTAAAATCTATAGTTTTGATTTTGCTTCAGTGACTACCACCCAATGATATAAATCTACAAAGAAGCAGCATGTATACATGCACATGTATGCTGATATTTATGGGGGGGAATCAATTTGCTAGTCATGTAACTTATTTCATCTGCACTCATGTCGAAATTCCTCTCTGTTATTCAGTAATGCATGAAGCATATCATATTAAAGAAAAGACAAAAATTCCTGACACTAGATATCTGAGGGCAAATGAAAATATATTTTGAAATATTTTTTACAACTATAGGAAGAAGCACATAACATGACCACTTTTTTGCTTTCCAGTTTCCTGAAAATATCCCTAAATGTACTAAAATTGGATCCCCGGTGGACAGTGTTCTCTGCCAATCTTTAACCATATGTATTGTACAATTAATTTCAATCTAAGACTTTCAATGAATTCTAATTTGAGACTTACAACTGATTCCTTTAGATATCGGTGCGAGTAATTTGATGAGTTATATTTCCAGGGGTGATAGTGAGCACTAAAAAAATGGCATCTAACAACATTCCCCCCATTTTGAGTAAGGAAATTGGGAAAAATAGGGAAAAATAGGGAAGAATAGAGAAAACAAGGGAAAATAAGGGAAAATTGGGGAAAAAGGGGATAAAATCAGGGGGAAAAAAAGAAGAAAAAAAAATCGGGAAAATTTTTTTTAAAACAAAATCGGGAAGAAAACAAAATCAGGAAAAAATCGTGAAACCGATTTAAATCTGGTAATTTGATGAGTTTTATTTCCTACCTGATGAAGGGCTGGTGAGCAGCATACCAATATTGGATGGAATCGTCTCCAAGGCTTGCTCCAAGAAATCAAGGAGGCTCGTTGTCACTACAATTTCCTGAGTGAAAACAATTACAACAAAAAAAGGAGATGATAAGGTGTGTCTTGTGGGTTGATTCTTGATGAACCATTTTTACTCTGAAATGAAATCAAGAAGTAGAATCCTGATTTTTTTTGGTGCACATAACCAAGCGTTAAAGGCAGTGTGGCAATGACGCAATATGTTTGATTCTACAGTACATGTGTCCATTATTTTTGTCATTACTAGAACTCAAAATTACCTTTAACCCCTTCTGTAGTGAAGGAAGAAAATGTTGCTGAAGAATTTGAGTTTCAAACAAAGAGGGCCAAGTATTTTCTACCTTAGACAAAAACAAGTAGCTAATTGTTAATTTATTCCCAAGGAAAGGCTTACATAGTTGATTTATCATACATATGTAGAAACAAGCATTATAAGTGAACATTTTAAAATTGGAAATTTATTTACAACAATTTTTTCAAAAACCTGGTGGCAGAGAAGGGCTTTCAAACCTGATGTAAGGGTGGACTTATCCTTGAAGAGAAAACCAAATAAAAACTAACCTCTGCTGGGGTGAGTAGCCTCGCCCAACAGAACAAGCTGCCCCTCCTGGCTCCATTCTTCTTCTCCACCCCTCCTCCTGCTCCTGCTCCTGCTCCTCCTTCAGACGTTGAGAGGTTCTGACGAGGGGAGGACTGCATGGAGGTACTTGCTGTATCGTTGTTGGGATCTTGCTTGTTCTCTGGCTCTGACTGGTATTCAACCTGTGAGAAGAGTGCATTTCTTATTGCAGACCTTGAATGTTTTCATTTTACGAGTGGCAGCATATTTGGTTGGGCAGTAAGAGGGGCACAAATTCCACAACAAATAACATTGTTAATTTATTTTCACTTTGTTGGTAGAGCTTTATCTTCTGAAGTCCTTATCCTAAATCAGAGTAAATAAAGTTTTTTTTTCAGTATACACCACAAAAGAATCAGTTAAAGATAAAATGAGTTCTGGTAATGCGATTGCATTGTGAAAGAAAAGGTGAGGAATGGATCAGAAAAGTTGATCATATAGCATGTAAGTAATGGTGTGTAATGCAAGGTTCTGGAGTCATCAAAATCATCATAAATTTGGCAGAGTCTTGGGAAAGTAACAATCACTTACACAGAAAGATGTATATAGGACAACACACATGGTGTCGGGGCTAGTACTACCCTGATTTCCTTATCTTTCTATGCTCATTACTCAGCCAGTATACATTTTCTTCCAAAATTGTTTGGCACATGACATTTATTTGTAATCTTGAACATTCAGTGTAAGTTTCGTTAGATTCTGTGAGAATTCATTTTCTTTTTTTTTACCAGAACTCAAGTTTATCTTTAAGCCACTGAGAATATACATGTACTTTATCCATGTGTACTGTAATTGTAAGAATTTGATCTTTGTCAGGATGTAACTAATTAAGGATTAGAACTTACAACATACACTAAATGATTTATTAGTCTAAACAGGTTTTTTGACCACCCACAAATGACTCAATGAAATATTCGATAAAAATAAGGTTTAAATAAACTGTATTTCAAACAACAAATGAATCAGCAAAATCAAGAATATGAATTCTTTCACAAAGTCAAGCCTGGTAGGGAATCAAGAATTGTGACAGTCTTTACAGATAAAAATCTAATCTGTTTTTAATCATTTTGTAAAAATTATTCATAACGTCAGCAGAAAGTCAGAAGGGTTAATTCATTCTGGCGATGTGCAATGTTGTAAGTCAATAATTTTTTTTACCATGCATGGCACTTGGAATGACCAACATGTTTTCAGAAGTTTGAATGATATACCTTTACATCAACTGCTGGTAGGTTGAAAAGGGCAAACCCCTGAGATGACAACATAGAGGGCAGTGTGCCACTTTTAAGTTTTATTCCCGAGGTGGATGAGGACGAGGCAGAGGAGAGTTGAGATTTCACTCCAGGCTTGCGTGATGGAGACGATTCTGTGGAATTCCAGGGCCTGCGTGATTCTTGCTTCAATGCACTTTGTGAGGAGACGGAAAGGAAGGATATAACAAATGTATAATGATGCATTTTGGGCATGGTACATGTCATTTAGAAGCATCGGGTGGGGATAAAGTATTCCAATTTTCTGTTAAATAGTGTACTTCACATGCAATCATTCTTCTTTCATGAACTAATTATGTTAGACATGTAGATCAATTTCTCATTAAACAACTGGCAGGTCTTACATCGCGCATATATCATGTCAAGACTACTAACAGACCCCTGCCTTGAGAATTACTTGATACATATCTCAATATAAAGGTTTCCTCTGAACTAAAGTAAGACAAATTCAAAATACAAACTCAAAATGGAATAGGCTGATTGGAAATCAGCAAACTTGTAAATGCAAAGCAGGAACTCAATCAAAAGCAGGTACATTGTGACATGATGCTAATCAGGGTCCTCTAAACAGTTAGACATATGTTCAAGTAAAGCACTGAAGAGATGCTTACTCTGGTATCAGATGATCATTGGGTCCCACAGGTGGCCCAGGCCTGTGACAGTGCAGGGTCAGCTTGCCACTGTCTATGAAGATGCTCACGTCCAGGTGAAGCTGAAGCTCCGGTTCGGGCGCAACGGACCTGGCAGGAGAAGCGGCAGAGCTGGCATGGTCCCTGGCTGCACTAGATCGACTCAAGACTGCAGAGGGCGCTGCTCCTTCTTTACCGCGAAGGGTGCTAGAGAGGCTAGGGTTTCAAAGTTTGGATGAGCAAATTAATTAGAATCTCTAAATCAATCAGAGTGGACAACAGCATTTATGGAATGGATTAGCATTGCTGAAGATCAGGTTTAAATGAACCTCCATACGGGATACAAAGTTCCTAAGCCATCGTCAGGTTAAGCCTGCAAGGTCTTATCTTTCCATTTCCTAGTACCAACACAACTCTAGATCTAACTCTCGTAGACTCTAACTTTAGATCTAAACTTTTGTTTGTTTTGATCATCATGTGTCGCTATTTTATAAAACAAATAACGCACTTGACCCTATTGTGCGTAACGTAAATGCAGTGTACGCTCGGTTTCTTCAGATGGTGCACACTGTGAACTCGCCGCAAGCGGCTCTTTGCACAGAGGCAGCAACAATCTAAAGAAACCTCGTGTGTACTTCATTCACCGCTATTGCACGCTGGGCCGTGTGTTATTTGTATACTACGCAACAATGCTCAGAGCATAGTCAACATCACTTGATGATTTCACATATCCATTGGACAATGAAGGTATAGAGGACTTCTCACCTTCCATCCATGTCATCAAATGTGGACTGTCCACTGTACTTCTCCTTCTCTTCCTCTTCTTCCTCCTCCTCTTCTTCTTCCGTGTCGCTACCATCAAGGTTCCTGGACATGGGTGTGGAATGTAGCGTCAGGCGCCTACGAATGCTCTTCCTATTCTGTCGAATCTCCTCCTGTATCAGAAACACCAACAACAATGTTAATCAAATCACTTTAAGATATTAGATATATATACATCTTTCTGTGTTCAGTGTTTGTAACTTTAAATTTCTTATCATTTTGATGATTCCAGAACCTTGCACTACACACCAATACTTATATGTTAGATGATCAACCTTTTCGGATCGTGTAATGGATGAACTTACGGTAGTTTGTTTACATAGCTTCCATTGCCTGCCATATGTTGTGTACACAAACCACCTCAATGTGGGTGCATTTAATTCACCCGAAGCAAAATGGGATGATGTGCACAATAACAAGGAAACATTCAGCAGAGTGAACAATGGTAAGACATGCTTGTAAAAACTGAACTCTTGGGGGGTGTTTCACAAAACTTGTCATCAGTGACAAATGACAGTTTTTGTTATAAGCTACTGAAATCCTTGCTTCTGATTGGTTATAAGCCTATTTGTCACTGCTCTTTGTTATTTGTCATTGAAAAAAAGGCTTTGTGATAAGGGCCCTTGGTGTGCCACTGACCTGTATTCTAGTGGGATCACCAATGGTAGCGTTGAGATCCATCGGGGTCAACCCAGACTCCAGACCAAGTCCTAGGCGAGACATAGCTCCCTGCCGAAGATCGGTCCCCCAGCCCATGGGGGTGGCTTCAGGTGTGGTCGGTGAGGGGGTGTGGAGGGGAAGGACAAAGGACACCCTGGATGGGGGGTCGGGGTACAGGGTAGAGCGGGTGTTCTTTGGTGTCTTCATGGAGGAGGGCGTGTCGTAGAGGTTGTGTTGGTGCTGGTATTCGCTGTCATAAGGCGTCATTGGAAACCTGCAGTGTACGGACAGTTTGGACAAGTTTTTACAAAGTAATTAAAACATAAATATGTATACATGTACAACATTGCAATATGCACAATGGTAATAAACAGTGTGAAGTACTTTTAACTGAACAGGAATTCATGTATGTGCATGATTTATTGCAAATTCCTAAAAGATAATATTAAACAAGAAGACTTAATAGACTTTTATGCATTGGCACTTACATGTTGGTATAGCAAACAGTCTCTTTCTTGCTTAGTGCAGGGGTGATATTGAGTACTAAATTTTTTTTTAAAAAATCCCCCTCAACCACGCCTTGAGTAAATCAGGTTTTTATCAGGCCTGACAGTGTGCTCATCTATGTCCATGCTATCTGATACTACGTGCGCTTCATCAGCTCTTAACTAATATGTGAGTGCCAGAGATAATACGTGCATCTCAGCCATGTAATATCACTTTTAGCCGGGGGTTATCACTTTTTGATGGGAACTTTGTTTTGCAAAGTAGGTGTGGTAGGAAACAAATAATGCATGTTTTTAGCTTGTGCATGAAAGTGATATTCACTGCACTTGGTTAAGTCATAATGAGACCGACAATGAACTCAACAAGGCTCGATCATTTTCCTACTGTGACTTGACCTGCATGCAGTGCATATTCACTAATGCACTCGCAAACTTGCATTATTCCCTATAATGATGATGCATGGTCATTGGTGTCATTGAACCAATAATTCATATTACCAAATGCACTCAAAGTCGATAAACAAAGTAAAACAATAACTTCTTCCTGTGTCATAGTGTAATTTTTTAAACTGATTTGTTACTCACGTTGACTGTCTAACGTAGGATGCATGTCTTTCTTTCTGAGTCCGACCCAGGGCACCACTACCCTGGGGCTTCACGCTCTTCCTACGAGAGGGCTTGTCTCGGCCTGACACCTACATAACAAAGGATTAAATAAAAATTTAATCCATGTATTGGTTTAAGACATCATTTTATTTGCCTAACGGCCTTAGACTTTAACATAAAAATCATAATATCAAATACATGATCGATCGCGATGATTTCAGTGTGGCAATGATCGATAAAGACCTAGGTTGAGTGTGGCAAATGTAGATCAATGTCTTGCCAAAGGACATTAGTGCCGCGGTGGGACTTGAACGACAGACCTTGTGATCCACAGTCCGGTGACATATCCACTCGTCCACGACACCTCTACGGTACATGGTCAATGTAAACTTACCTTCATGCCCTGAGCCTTGAGTTTCTTCCTGATGTCTCTTCTGAAATCCTTGAAGACTGCTGTCTCCATCTGTCTCAGTTTATCAGCTTCCTCTGCGATGGTGCCACTTTTGGCTCCCAATGTCCTGGAGGTTTCAGAGAGAGCGAGGGAGAGAGAGAGAGAGAGAGAGATGGAGAGAGAGGGAGAGAGAGAGAGAGAGAGAGAGAGAAAGAGAGAGAGAGAAGAAAAAAGGTTGTATTTGTTGCTCACACATTTACATCACATTATGGCCAGCTTGAAGATAAGCTTATCTTTTTGAAAAGATTTTATTCTTCTGGGCTCCATTTCATAAAAATTAGTGGGTTACAGCTTAGTCTGTGATTGAATTTAAGTTTTGGGTAAGGGTTACTGTTAGGTAAACATGAAGCTTTACATGTAGGTCTGGGATTGATAGTATTCCTACTAACTAATTCCTACATTTGCTCCAGAGACAATTGTTCCAGGCTGAATTTCGTAAAAAATATATGGTTACGGTGAGGGTTGTAATTGTGTATTATGATAGGTTTAGTGATTGCATTGGGTCAAATACTACAGATAAGAATTCAGTTAGAAATAGATATTGACTGCAAAGTACATAACAGGAGCATGTGTCATACAACCGGATAGATAGAGCAATCCATTGGTCCTAGAAATTGTTGATGAAGCGTTTTTCATCGGGTAAGGGCTACTGACACAATATCCGATGTCAAACTGATTGCCATGAAGAGGAATCTTAACTATCCCACCAACTCCCCCTTAACCTAAAGCTGATATATATAAAATCATGTAAATGTATTTTAACATTGTTTGTTATTTCATGTATTTGTAATCCTTTTTGTGTACAGGGCCTCTCAGAAAAACAGTATTTGTTATCCTGTTTTTAACGAATATAAAAAAGAATTATTAAAAAAAATCATTCCATTTTCTCACCTGAGATCACTGACGACCTTGGCCTGTTCATTGATCTCCTGCATGATGGCCTTGGACTTACTCTTCTCATCGTTAGGATCAACCTTCAGCGAGGTGGGTCTCTTTAGAGGAGTCACTTCCTAGGGGAAAGAAAGGATCATTGCATTTATGCCTGTCTTGGTTCTTTAAAGCCCATCTGTACTACTTGTAGCTACTTGCGCCCTCTATATAACAAATACCTAATTGGTGACCATTGGTCCCCCATGATCCTCTTTTTCTTATGTTATTTGAGAGCTGAGTTGATGAGATAACCACCTGTCCAGTGACCTTGCAGGGAGGTCTAATCCCTCCTTAACACTAGTACATATGGCCTTTAAAGTGTACCAATCACCTCAAAATATAATATGTGTACAGCTAGAATGTATCAAGTCAACCTAAAAACTTTATCCAGCATTCTATAGGCCAACAGATAAGGAGCATTAAGAAAATAATGAATAGCATAAAACCGGTGAGCACAGAACTTGAGTTCCGCACAGACCCTACTTCATACGTGTGACAAGAATTGCTTGACCAGAGGGACTCTCTTTTATCATCTAAGAACAGCTTTTTAAGGAAAAGTTTTCATTTTGCTATGGTTATATATTTCCAGAATGAAATATAAGGATGATATGCATGTAGCTCCCAAATTAAAGGAGTTCTTCTCAGATATCCTTTGAGAGTCAGAAGACCATCAACTTTGCATATAAGCTGTCACTCTTCAGACTTTCCGCAGAAATTGTTTGAGCCTTTAATTGAAAATATTATAAGTGTTAATATCGCCCCTCTATCCTTTGCCACTTACTTGGTCAGATAGGACATCAGTTGAGCTGACCTCCTGTTGTTCATTGACCGATGTCAGGTCAGCGATGTCATCGTCGGCGCCGGTCAAAGAGGTCAGGGTGTTGGCCAAAGCGGTCAGTTGATGACCGACGGAGGGATCGAACTGGACGTCGATGCCTTCCATTCGCCACTTGAAGTTCAGCCTCCACTGACCAATGGTCATACGATGGAAATCTTTGGCTGGAGTAAAGATATCAATTCATATTAGTATATTCAGCAAGTGTGAACATGCATGTTCTATATCTATTAAAGGGTACCTTTATGCTTCTCTCTTAACATAGGTGAGGTAACGAATAGGTACGTATCCATATCATTATTTGTATCAGTCATTCAAAACACCAGTGGGTTTAATACACAACCACATCTATCATAAGTCATACTAGTAATCAAACTCATTTCTTTCTTTCTTAAATCGCTATCATATAAATAAATTTCACAACTGTCCATTTTCCTAGGCTGCTAGACTTTGCAACCACCATCTGACTGAAACACAATTCCTGACATGACAATATGTGCAAAAGTTCCAGTGCATGTTTTTAAAGTTTCAATGATTCAGAGTACAGGGACCCGTTTCACAAAGCCTTTTTTCATTGAAAAAAAATCAGTGACAAATCTGTTGATAACCAATCAGAAGCAAGGATTTCAGTAGCTTATAACAAAAACTGTCACTGATGACAAGTTTTGTGAAATTCCGCCCCCAGAAGAACAATTTCTGAACTCACCCTGGTTGCTATTAGCGCTTGAGCAGACTTCATAGGTTCCTTGAGGAATGACACCTGCAAATAAGATTGACATACATGTACATTGAATAATCTAATACAAGATAGTTTAGTATGTACAGGCAACATAACTTGAACTGTACCAACAGAACGGGTACAAGATATCTCAACATTTTTTCTCATTGCTACTACTTCAATACCCGTTTGGAGAGCAGGGGGAAGTAACAATTACATGCAGCTAAGGCTGTCTGGAGAGAAAACAAAAATATAATAATTCATATATAGCATATCATTTGCTCCATGTGGCTCTACATCTTTTGTTTTGGCCCACAACCAAACAAGAATCTTGAACAAGGAACCTAATGCAAATAATTCTTAGCTGTTTATGAGTCAATATGTGTATCTGTGTAAAATTTGATACTGTAACTCTTAAGTTAACCATTTTTACAACTACAAGAGACCTTTGAAGAGATTTGCAGCTAAAATTAAAAGGGGTATTACAAAAACAGGTATTTGCATGTTAATGCAAGTGAAAGAGAAATAGGTTTTTATAGACAGGTGGTCTGAAGCAGTCTTGATGTGAGTATGGTTAGGTGGCACGATATCTCAGTAGGTAGAACAATGGTCTCGTAATCCAGCAACCTGGGTTAGAAACCCTGGCGATGCGCTAGTGCCATTTGGTAAGGTATTAATCCTCATTACCAGGTCTCTCGGAGTGGATCTACAGCAGTCGATCCTCTGGTTGCTTACTAAAAAGAATTTATACTTTCTTAGCATTCAGATAAAATAACCCCCACTACACAGGGGTGATAGTGAGCACTAAAAAAATAAAAGGTTTCGGGGGAAAAAATGGCATCTAAAACATTCCCCCCTTTTGAGTAAAAAAAATTGGGAAATAATAGGAAAAAATAGGGAAGAATAGAGAAAATAAGGGAAAAATCAGGAAAATCAGGATAAAATCGGGATGAAGAAAAAGAAAAAAATTGGGTAAAAAAAAAAAAAAAAAAAAAAAATTGGGAAGATAAAGAAAATCAGGAAAAAAATAATCGGAAACTGATTTAAATCAGGTTTTTATCAGACCTGACTACACTTCACTTACAGGAGTTCATGATGTGATCATAGGAGGAAGGTCTCCAGTCATCCATGGCCATCTGGAAGTCCTCCGTGAACCTGAGGCAGATGGTATGAAAGGAGCCTTTGGTCGCCAGGGAATTACTGTAGCAAGCACTGATCAGGGAACTCTCCAGGGTCAGTACCAACGCAGAGTGGCAGTCCATGTCGGGTCTCGTCCCAGTTACTCCAAGGTTCTGCAAGAAGCCATGAGCCAAGATTAATTGTTATATTTGGCTTTGAAAGTGAACAACACTTAAGAACTTAAGGCTGGCAGTCAATGACTACTATAGGATTAGGTGCAACATAAATAAGCTACCGTATACAGTAATGTGCCATCCATTTACATGCCTTGAAATAAGCGGCCAGGAGCAAGGGGCAATTTATTTTTTAAAGTTGCCCCTTGCTCACAGGATTTAACCAGATCAAGGGGCAATTATTGAAAAACCAGGGGCAATTTTTTAAAAACAGATAATGACAAACAATTACACAAGTTCAACAAATATCCAGCCGGTTATCATTTTAGCCTCAGCTATTTATGTTTACAGACGATGCAACATACATAAACTACCATTTTTATTTCGGGGGCTCCATATCCAATTTTGGAGAAAATTTTTGGGGGCTCTTTTTTCCATTTCGGGCGCTACTTTTTTATTAACTCAAAACAAGATAAAGTTTGCCGAGTTCATTAAGTAGACTTACTGGCTTATATATCTTTGATTCAGGCTTCCTGCTTCATTTTCACCCATTAAAAAAAAAAAGCATAACTAAGTTTTAGTGCATTGCTTTGATGCAAGAACTGTATAAAGTACTAGTATCATAGTATTAATATCTTGTAACTAAGTCTACCGTATGTACTGTTCACAATTCAGTAAACTAAACATGGCCAGAATAATGACAAAATAAGCTTTGATTTCATACCTCTATTCACGAAAACAAAACAGATAGCAATTTCAAAAGTTTTGTCGAGTCTCTTAGACTCTAGCTCTAATGGTTCCGACAGCAGTGCAGTGCACGGTGTGTGTGTGTGGACTCAAGGCAACTGCAGTGTGCAACTAAACTATCAGTCACAATAATTTTCTTATGAAAACTTTACTTTGAAAAATGATTATCAAAATTCAGGAAACATGGCCAGAATAATGACAAAATAAGCTATGATTTCATACCTCTATTCTTGAAAACTATATAAAATGGTGGTAGTCATGATGAAAAAAGATTGCAGTTTCGCTACGGTAAAGTGAGGTCTAGGTTCAGCTAAAGATCCATGAAAACAAAAATCGACCATCAGACCAAAATCGAATGCCAAAAACTTGGTCCCTACGCTCCATTTCTCGCAGCCGCGAAAATGCACATGTTTTCGCGTACGTGCGACATGGTAAGGTATTGGTTGAGTATATAAGATTTTACATGGAGATTCAGAGTGCACTGACCAAGAAATGCACACAATGGATACCTAGCTAATAGAAAGCTCGTGCGCTGCAATTGTTTCATAATTCATATAACGGGCGCATTTTCAAAGCAAACACTTGCGCCTTGCCGTCTAGTTTCCTATGATCGTATCAATCTAGGAAGAGAGAGAAACAGAACTTACAGGATGACAGACAGGGAGCGGATGACTCTCTTCCATCACTGAACATTGCAGTGTTGGTATGAATCCTATGAACTTATAAACCTAGAGGGAGGAGGATGACTCTCTTCCATCACTGAACATTGCAGTGTGGGAATGAATCCTATGATCTTATAAACCTAGAGGGAGGAGGATGACAGATGGGAGCGGAGGACTCTCTTCCATCACTGAACATAGCAGTGTGGGAATGAATCCTATGATCTTATCAACCTAGAGGGAGGAGGATGACAGATGGGAGCGGAGGACTCTCTTCAATCACTGAACATTGCAGTGTGGGAATGAATCCTATGATCTTATAAACCTAGAGGGAGGAGGATGACAGATGGGAGCGGAGGACTCTCTTCCATCACTGTCCATAGCAGTGTGGGTATAAATCCTTTGATCTTATGAGTCTAGAGAGAGAGACAGACAGACAGACAGAAACTTACAGGATGACAGACAGGGAGCGGATAACTCTCTTTCATCACTGAACTGAGCAGTGTGGGTATGAATCCTTTGATCTTATAAACCTAGAGGGAGGAGGATGACAGATGGGAGCGGAGGACTCTCTTCCATCACTGAACATAGCAGTGTGGGTATGAATCCTATGATCTTATAAACCTAGAGGGATGAGGATGACAGATGGGAGCGGAGGACTCTCTTCCATCACTGAACATTGCAGTGTGGGTATGAATCCTTTGATCTTATAAACCTAGAGGGAGGAGGATGACAGATGGGAGCGGAGGACTCTCTTCCATCACTGAACATTGCAGTGTGGGTATGAATCCTTTGATCTTATAAACGTAGAGGGAGGAGGATGACAGATGGGAGCAGAGGACTCTCTTCCATCACTGAACATTGCAGTGTGGGTATGAATCCTTTGATCTTATAAACCTAGAGAGAGGAGGATGACAGATGGGAGCGGAGGACTCTCTTCCATCACTGAACATTGCAGTGTGGGAATGAATCCTATGAACTTATAAATCTTGAGAGAGAGACGGAAACTTACAGAATGACAGACGGGGTGTGGATTACTCTCTTCCATCACTGAACATTGCAGTGTGGGAATGAATCCTATGAACTTATAAATCTTGAGAGAGAGACAGAAACTTACAGAATGACAGACGGGGTGTGGATTACTCTCTTGCATCACTGAACATTGCAGTGTGGGTATGAATCCTTTGATCTTATAAACCTAGAGGGAGGAGGATGACTCTCTTCCATCACTGAACATTGCAGTGTGGGAATGAATCCTTTGATCTTATGAACCTAGAGGGAGGAGGATGACAGATGGGAGCGGAGGACTCTCTTCCATCACTGAACATTGCAGTGTGGGTATGAATCCTTTGATCTTATAAACCTAGAGGGAGGAGGATGACAGATGGGAGCGCAGGACTCTCTTCCATCACTGAACATAGCAGTGTGGGTATGAATCCTATGATCTTATAAACCTAGAGGGATGAGGATGACAGATGGGAGCGGAGGACTCTCTTCCATCACTGAACATTGCAGTGTGGGAATGAATCCTTTGATCTTATAAAACTAGCGGGATGAGGATGACTATCTTCCATCACTGAACATAGCAGTGTGGGTATGAATCCTAAGATCTCATAAATCTTGAGAGAGAGAGAGAGACAGAACTTACAGGATGACAGACGGGGTGTGGATTACTCTCTTCCATCACTGAACATTGCAGTGTGGGTATGAATCCTTTGATCTTATAAACCTAGAGGGAGGAGGATGACAGATGGGAGCGGAGGACTCTCTTCCATCACTGAACATTGCAGTGTGGGTATGAATCCTTTGATCTTATAAACCTAGAGGGAGGAGGATGACTCTCTTCCATCACTGAACATTGCAGTGTGGGAATGAATCCTATGATCTTATAAACCTAGAGGGATGAGGATGACAGATGGGAGCGGAGGACTCTCTTCCATCACTGAACATTGCAGTGTGGGTATGAATCCTATGAACTTATAAATCTTGAGAGAGAGACAGAAACTTACAGAATGACAGACGGGGTGTGGATTACTCTCTTCCATCACTGAACATTGCAGTGTGGGAATGAATCCTATGAACTTATAAATCTTGAGAGAGAGACAGAAACTTACAGAATGGCAGACGGGGTGTGGATTACTCTCTTCCATCACTGAACATTGCAGTGTGGGTATGAATCCTTTGATCTTATGAACCTAGAGGGAGGAGGATGACTCTCTTCCATCACTGAACATTGCAGTGTGGGAATGAATCCTATGATCTTATAAACCTAGAGGGATGAGGATGACAGATGGGAGCGGAGGACTCTCTTCCATCACTGAACATTGCACTGTGGGTATGAATCCTTTGATCTTATAAACCTAGAGGGAGGAGGATGACTCTCTTCCATCACTGAACTGAGCAGTGTGGGTATGAATCCTTTGATCTTATAAAACTAGCGGGATGAGGATGACTCTCTTCCATCACTGAACATAGCAGTGTGGGTATGAATCCTAAGATCTTATAAATCTTGAGAGAGAGAGAGAGAGAGACAGAACTTACAGGATGACAGACGGGGTGTGGATTACTCTCTTCCATCACTGAACATTGCAGTGTGGGTATGAATCCTTTGATCTTATAAACCTAGAGGGAGGAGGATGACTCTCTTCCATCACTGAACATTGCAGTGTGGGAATGAATCCTTTGATCTTATAAACCTAGAGGGAGGAGGATGACAGATGGGAGCGGAGGACTCTCTTTCATCACTGAACATAGCAGTGTGGGAATGAATCCTATGAACTTATAAACCTAGAGGGAGGAGGATGACAGATGGGAGCGGAGGACTCTCTTCAATCACTGAACATTGCAGTGTGGGTATGAATCCTATGAACTTATAAACCTAGAGGGAGGAGGATGACAGATGGGAGCGGAGGACTCTCGTCAATCACTGAACATTGCAGTGTGGGTATGAATCCTATGAACTTATAAACCTAGAGGGAGGAGGATGACAGATGGGAGCGGAGGACTCTCTTCCATCACTGAACATTGCAGCGTGGGTATGAATCCTTTGATCTTATAAACCTAGAGGGAGGAGGATGACTCTCTTCCATCACTGAACATTGCAGTGTGGGAATGAATCCTATGAACTTATAAACCTAGAGGGAGGAGGATGACAGACGGGGTGTGGATTACTCTCTTGCATCACTGAACATTGCAGTGTGGGTATGAATCCTTTGATCTTATAAACCTAGAGGGAGGAGGATGACTCTCTTCCATCACTGAACATTGCAGTGTGGGAATGAATCCTTTAAATAATATAAACCTAGAGGGAGGAGGATGACAGATGGGAGCGGAGGACTCTCTTCCATCACTGAACATTGCAGTGTGGGTATGAATCCTATGATCTTATAAATCTTGAGAGAGAGAGAGAGACAGAAACTTACAGGATGACAGACGGGGTGTGGATTACTCTCTTCCATCACTGAACATTGCAGTGTGGGAATGAATCCTTTGATCTTATAAACCTAGAGGGAGGAGGATGACAGATGGGAGCGGAGGACTCTCTTCCATCACTGAACATTGCAGTGTGGGTATGAATCCTATGAACTTATAAATCTTGAGAGAGAGACAGAAACTTAA